GCCACCAAGAGGCTGGTTGGTGTCCTCATGGAATGTTAGGGCAACAGGGGCTCAGCTTGGGTCTCCAGGGATGACAGGGTGGACACTCAACAGTGGCCATAGACAGATCAGCCTTGGGGAGAGGGAGCCAGGGTTGTTGGGGTTATATGTAACCTTGTCACTGCCACGATGGCACTCTGTTCATGAGCCCATATTGTGCAAGCCCTGGGTGGAGGGAAGGTGCAAGGACAGAGGCTGGTGGAGGCCCAGTGGCTGGGGCATCCTGCCCACTTGGCTGTGTAGTGACTGTTCTGCATTGGATGCTTTGTGGTGTGTGTCACGATGTGATACCTGATCTTCACACTCTCTGCCCACACCCATAGGTCTGTGTGCCTCTTTCACAGTCCTCCTTGTCTCTGATACTCCAAATCTTGCTCTTTCCAGGCCTCTGGACAATAAATAACTAAGCTATTCGCCACTGCCCACTAGTCATGTACACCTTACCCCAGGTCACTTCTTGCCATGGAAGTGACCAGGTGCACTGCCCAAATCTCTGCCTATTGGAGGGATTTCCTCTCACCACATTTGTGCAGGGTCACCTTTGAGTGGGGCTGCAGTGCAGGCTCCGTCCACATACCAGGTCCACCCACCTGTGACAAGCTTGGGGATTTTCCTTCTCTGTCAACTGGCTTAAAAACCCTCTGTGTGGTATGTGTGCTGAGGGAGAGGCCTTGGTGGGACAGTCCCCATCCCAAGTCTTGAGGTCTCCTTCCCTACCTGGGACATGATTTGGGTATAGGAGACCTGCCTGGATGGAGAATCCAGCCTTTTCTCGAGTCCTGCTGCTCTTACAATGACGTCCTCTGTCTGATTGTCACCCCATCTGCCTCTGGCTACAGAAGAGAAGTGTTTTGCAGTTCTTCCTGCCAAGAATTTTCCTCTCTCACACTTTAAATTGCCGATTAAGAGATCTGTGACTGTAATTTCCTTTCTTCAATGAATCAGTGACACTTAGCAATAGCCACACGATTCCACAGTCTTAATAGTTATTCTTTGCCCACACTTCTCTGATGCCAGAGACGTTGTGCCAGCTGGTGCAGCCCCACCTGTGTCCCATCCCAGGTCACCGCAGGTGCCCCGTGCCCAGAACTATTAATCTCTACCTGCCACAGGTGATGGGTCCTCATTCCATCTGCTCAGTGGTCCCCCTCCAGCAGCCTATCCTCAAAGCCTGCCTCCCAGACCCATGCCCAGCACCTGCTGTCTTAGGTCTGGACAGGAGCAGAACCTGGGACAGGCATGCAGATTCCCAGGATTGACTGAGGGAGTGATCTTGGGAGAAACCTCTAAGGGAGGGAGTGAGGCAGAAAAGGAAGGGGAGAGGGTAGAGCCAGCATATGGCCTCACATAAAGTCTAGCCTTGACCCGACCCATAGGGAGGACTCTGGAGTGCTAGCCACGCCCCAGTAAAGAGGTTGGCCTTTTATTCCTTTTAGCAGTCAGGTTTTGGCTATGGGCTGCCTGGCATGGTGCATATGTGGGGGCAGGTAGCTGCACAGGCAAGGAGGTTCCTGTCTTCTGGGGACAGTTGTCTGGTGAAGGGGGACGTTGCAGACTCTTGGCAGCCAAAACTCATTGCAAGGAGGTGTACGTGAGCCCTTTGGTAAAGGAGAACTTGGTGGAGCAGGACAGGTACCTAGTTACTATAGCAACCTGTGAAGAAGACAAAGGAAGCACAGTCACAGGGACTCAGGGAGAACCAAAGAACCAAAAGAGGGTGTTGCCATGGACCACAGACAAGCGTCTTGTCTGTTTCCTATTCCTCTAACAGAATAACTAAGACTGAGTAATTTAGAAAGACAAAAGGCTTATTTAGCTCATGGTTCTGGAGGCTGGGAAGTTCAAGGTCAGGCAGCTGCATCTGGTGAGGGCTTCAGGCTGCATCGTAACAGGCGGAAGGCAGCAGCACATGGTGAGGAGGGCAAGAGCACACCAAACGCCTTTTATAACAGACCCCTCTTGTGGTAACTAACTCACTTCTATGATAGCCCATTAATCCATTAATCTATTAATCCATTCATGACCCAATTACCTCATAAAGGCACCACTTCTTAATACTGTTACATTGGGAATTAAGTTTCACTCTGAGTTTGGGAGGGGCAAACATTCAAACCACAGGACCAAGAGAAGAGAATTTCAAGGAAGAAACAGCAACAGTCAAACGCAGCTGTGAGGTCCAGTCTCTGAAGCAGTTAGCCACCAAGAGGCCACTGGCGAGCTTGCAGGACCAATTTCAGAGGACAGCTCGGGCATGAGCCAAGCATATGAGGGGCAACTGAGGAAAGAAAGGAGGACAGGCCGCTTCGTTGGCTGAGAAGCCTGTGTGAGAAGGAGCAGAGATTGGACAGCAAGAGCTGGAGGTGAGCCTGGACTTTGCAACTCCAGGGCTCCAAGGTGCCAAACCTGGGGAGGGGGAGGCAGGAGGGAGAGGAAAGGGGCTGGCCCAGGCAGTGAGGTCCAGAAGACAAGGGGCAATGGTGTCAGGGGCTGGAGGAGGGGTAGACCCGACTTGGGAAGGAACACCATGCCTTCTGGACCTGGGCAGAAGGAGATACTCTTGGGGGTGAAGGTAGGTCTGCAGGTGGGAGGGGGACAGGTAGTGGGGATCTGTGTGTGGGCCAGGTAACCTGCTGACAGCAGGTGGGTGGATGTGGGTGAGTAGGAGGCTGCAGCAGAGGACGAGAGAAATGGGGGTGGGTGGGTGGGGAGACCAAGGTTGGGTGGGTGCCCTAGGGCTCAGTGAGGCTGGGAACCCTAATGTGTCCTGGCGACAACCTGCGGGACTGACTTTCCCCAAGAGCACCCTATAGCCTTCTGTGCAGGCGCAGGCAGGGGACTTGGGATGGAGGCTTTCTGAGGCTAGCTGGGGGAAGAACAGAGACTCAAGATGGCCCATGAAGCGTGGGCCCAGGTGTGGGGAGGGTGGGCATCGGGGGAGGCTAAGCTCCCAGCTGCAGAGCCAGGCCCTCCACTGGGCTTCTCTGTGGACTATTCTTGTCCCAGAGCTAGGCCTGCAGGAGGAGGGGGCCCAGCTTGGTCAGGCAGTCCCCCATCAGCCTTGTGGGGCAGCCCCAGGCCTGTATTTAACTGTGGCCTTGGTTTCGGGGTCTCCATCGTGAAGTTAGGAAAGCACACTGCCCTGCCACCCTCTCCCCACTTCTCTGCCCACTTCCTGCCCTTTTAAGGCAATGGCGTTCAAGCTTTTTGTTTATAACCACAGCCCACTCGTAAGAACTAACACCATGACTCATCAAACACACACGCGCGCATACACACACGTACCTGCAACAAGTCTCTTGATACAATCCTTCCCCTCACTTTGTAGGGTGTACTCCTGATATTTCCTACTTTGTCCTCGTCTATTTCAGGATGAGAATGCGTCAGGCCCCACCACAGGGATGTCACTTGCTGGTGCTGAGGAAACACCACTTGGGAGCGGGGTGTGTCCCTTTGGGAGGCGCCCCTGATGCCGACCAACCACCTCCTTGTCCAGGGACAGTCTGTCCTCAGAGAACAATACCGTCCGCCCTGGCCATGCTGGTGGTGGCAGTGCCCGCTGCCGAGCAGTAGCTAGGATTCCATTTTTTTTTTTTTTTTTTTTTGAGACAGAGTCTCGCTTTCTTGCCCAGGCTAGAGTGAGTGCCATGGCGTCAGCCTAGCTCACAGCAACCTCAAACTCCTGAGCTCAAGCAATCCTCCTGCCTCAGCCTCCCAAGTAGCGCTGGGACTAGAGGCACGTGCCACCATGCCCGGCTAATTTTTATATATATATATTTTTAGTTGGCCAATTAATTTCTTCCTATTTTTTTTATAGTAGAGACAGGGTCTCGCTCAGGGTGGTTTTGAACTCCTGACCTTGAGCAGTCTGCCCCCCTTGGCCTCCCAGAGTGCTAGGATTACAAGCGTGAGCCACCGCGCCTGGCCCTAGGATTCCATTTTTAACGTCCGTCTTCTGCCCCTCACCTTTCATCTCCCAGCAAAGTGAGAAACTCCGGCTGCCCCGGAGGCCCCAGAGCAGGGGCCTTGGGGGTGCCCCACCCCCCACAGGTGGCACCAGGGCCGCCTCACCCGGACTTGCTGCTGCACACTCAAGAGGGGCCTTCACACCCTTCTGACACACGTTCCACACAGACACCCCGATATGGTTGAGTGGCTGCTTTGGGGTGCCTGCCCAGCCCACACTTCCATCTGCAGACAGCCCCTGTCAAGGCCGGCCATGGTGGCCACACTTGCTTTCCTCCTAGCGCCTGGCGGTCGGCTACGTGGAGGAAGGCCAGTGACCAGCCATAAGATTCACTTCCCCACACGTGGGCGGGAGACAGGAAGCGCAGTGGGTTCGTGCTGGGAGCTGAGGCTGTAAGGATGGTTAGAACCGTGGCCTGGGGCGTGGCCACGGCGGGGCAGGAGCCCACGGAAAGTGCAGTCACCCAAGCTTCCCTTAGCAGGGAAGGGAGAGGGGTGGGACGGACGGGCCCAGGGCCCAGAATGAGATAGGTGAGTGGTCCACAGGGACAGTGGCTGTTAGTGATCACCCACTTTCTGTGAGCCTGGCCGTGCTTCCCTTCCTTCATTCCTGAGTGCTCTGGACAGCAGCCCTGTAGCATGACGTGAAGTTTCCTGTTCTTTAAACCCAGAACAATCCCCAGTGGACTGTCAGAGACCAGCCACCACTGGACGCTGAGGTCACTGGGGTCCCCCCAGCACCCTGCAAGCACCTGGCCTGTCCAGCACCCCCTCCTCTGTCCAGCCACACACTCTATGTGCTCCAAACTGTCCCTGCGGTTTCCTCTTCAGGGACACAGCGGCAGCGGCTCTTCCAACTCAGCACCCAAACCCTTTAACTGCTTTGTGTGCAGGGTGCAGAGATGCCAAGGTAGGGGTGGTGGTTCAAAAACAAAAGCAAAAAAAAAAACACCGAAACTACTCCTTATCCACAAAATAGCTAGTTCGCCAAACCTTCAGTTTTTGTCAATTTATTTAGAAAAAAATTAACATGGGCAAATGAGATACCTCAGTGTTACAACAGAGTATAGAAATGTCTAGCAATAGTCAAATAATTTGATCTTTAAATACAAAATAACCACATGAACACCTAATATACAGGTTTCATCTGAATACATATTTATTAGATAAATATTAGAGGTTGTCACATCATCTAACTACATACAGCTTTGCAAGACTAGAAATCACAATTAGTTTTCTGACCAGTTGAAAGTATGAAATGATTGCATTGTACATACGATGTACAGAGACGATGATGGCTGCTGTGGGAGTCACTTCAGGCTGCACGTGTGGGTGTGTGTATGTGTGTACGTGTGAATCACCTGTGATCATGATATCAAAAAATTATACAAAGTATGAATTTGGTTACAATTTTCTTCTGAAATCCCCGTTTCTTTTCATTATTTCCATAGCACCCTAAAAATACACAGGTGGCAGGACTAGTACACTGAAGCTAAATAGTACATGTAGGTAAAATAAAAACAAAACAAAAATTCCTTTCCACACAGGGTCAGAGTATATTACATGAGTGAGACAAACGTGGAGAACTCACAAACGCTAACGAACAGGATCTAGTTTTTCCACGTAAGATGGAATTCCAAGCCTTTTTTTTTGTTTTGTTTCGTAAAATAAAAACAATACACATTCCGAGAGAAATGAATGCATCTGTTGACATGTCTCTATTTCTCATTTACATATGTACACACGTCCCTTGAGTCACTGCTGCTGACACTACCCTGTCTGGACGGGTCAGGCCCGAAGGCCATGGGGAGCAGACCTATAGCTCTCTGGGGGGGGTTAGGGCTCCGGTAGGGAGAAAGTATTAGCAGTTTCATAAAAAATAAAATGGCTACAGGGAACATGATACATGGATAAAGCTTCAAACCAAGAAGATGGGGCGATTGCCTGGGCTCGGCCCCTCCCGCCTGCCCGCCGTCTCCCTGTACCCATCTCGAGGAGTGGCAACAGACACACACCTATGGGCTGGGTTGATGCTTGCCGTGGAAAAGTGGCTTGCTCAGGCCTTGCTTTTGCTGAGGTTGCTATGGCTCCAAGGAGCCGTCCGCAAGGATCAGGGAAGCATCTTTCCAGAGGCTCAGGACCACCTCTGCTTACGGATGTCGTTTTCACCTGCGTCTGTCACGGCAGCGGGGGCTCGCTCCTGCCTCAGATGCCTTTGTACCTCCCTCACACCCTGGTCTGGCCCCAAAATCACTCTGGAAGAGGATGTCCCCAGAGCCTAGGGCTTCAGAGCCCGCCGGAAGGAATGCTACGTGCTGGTGGAGGCTTGCTGGGGAGGGAACCCGGGAACCCAGGAACCCAGCCTCGGGTGCCAGGCCCAGAGGTGGGTGGGGAGGGGCCCGGGCTGCAGGGAGCTTCTAGAACCTCTGCGTGGAAAGCTGTGGATAGGTCTGTGAGGGGAGTCTGGGCACACCCTGCTGAGAACCAGTATGGACGCCAGGCCTTTCTGGGGCAAAGTATCAATCGAGGCAGGAAGTAGGAACTCCCAAGGCAGGCAGCTGTCAGTCTGTCCGGAGCTGAAATTCCAGATGGTCTGACACAGACCAGGCCACCTGCCAGGCCACAGGCTCTGGGCAAGCAAGGGTGACCACATACTACCTGTCCCCGCCTGCTGACTAGGGGATGGCCCTCAACAGTGGGCTGCCTGGTCTCCCGACTCCCAGCACAGCCACCCATTCCGTTCGTCCCTTCATCTGTACAAATAGCCCTGGTTCCTTTTTTTTGTTTAAAAAAAGAAAAAAAACAAAAAAAGACTCCATGTTTGTTACTGAGTCAAGGTATTTTAAAAACACCAGCAAAGGCTATAACCAGGTCATGAAAATGTTGAATATTATCAAAGACAATACTAAAATATTCACAAAGATATTTACAAAAGCGATTCTTAAAATAATTGATTTGCATACCGAACAACACGCTGTTTGAAAAAACCTCAACGACAACGGGACAAAGGAAAAGAAGGGGCGGGGCGGGGCGGCAATGGCAGCTTTCTTGCAGAAAACCTTGTGCCGTCTGGTACAGCGACTGGAAGTCAACAGCTGGGGCCACCTTTCCGGGAAAGTCCGTGGAGGGAGGAGGAGTGCTGGGGCCACCCACCACAGAGAGGGAGCCGGGGATGGCGGGATCGAGAGCACCCACAGGGAACAGGGAAGCAGGAAAGGGCCCAGGCAGTGGCAGGGAAGAGCGCAAAGGATTTACAGACAGGACCCAAGTGCTGGGACGAGCCAGCATCACCCCAGGCCATGAGGCTTAGGGGGACACAGACGAGCTTGAAACAAAGTGGACATAGGACAAGCTCCCTGGGAGGCCTCAGAGAGCCAGGTGGAGTGACGAGTGGCAGGAAGGCCAGAGGCTGCCTTGCTCAAGCGGAGTGTGGGGTAAGCTTTTGGCGGTAGAGGGGCACGGTGGGCAGGGGAGACTGGCAGCCAGGGGCAGCACAGGGACAGAGAGGCTGGACAGACAGATGCCCTGGGCTCCCACACCTGTGCCCCCTGCCATTTGGGTGGACAGGGAACTAGGACACAGGGGGAAGTGGGTGTCCCACAGAACAGTCTTGGAGAGCTGGGGGGGGTGCAGGAGGGGAGACAGAACACATGGAGAGAAATGGTTTGCTTGCTGTCCAAGTACAACGTTCCTTTGCTCCAGATGACTTCGTAGTTTGTTGCTGTTTAAAAACAGGGAGTGGCTTGGAGCTAAGTTACAAGTTGCTGCCCCTACTGGACTCCGGCTAGCAGCATCCCCCCACCCCCCAACGGAGGGCATGGTAATTCTGGTTGGGCACACATCTGTGCTCTCTCTGCCCCGCTCCGCTGGTCTGGCGTGAAGGTGGCGGAGCCATTGGGGGCGTCGTCCTGGCTCTGGGAAGCCCTTTCCCACCAGGCCCCCAGCAGGAATGGCATACCCTCTCTCAAACACAGAATCTTGTCCATCTTCTCTGCTTTTTGAGAGTGTGTTTACAGGGTATCTTGGCTTAGAGGTCAGAGGTCAAGCCAATGACCCCTGTCCTGTGAGAGATGTTCTCCTTCCCAGAGGTTTGTGCTTTTCTGTGGTGGGTGGTGGTGGGCAGGCCGGTCTCACTACTGCCAACTGTCACTACTCCTCCAAGGTTTAGGGCCCACCCTGGGTCTGGGGGGACTTCTCGCAGGTCCCACAGTCACTTGAAGGAGGCTCTGGGCCAGGAAGCAGGGAGGCAGGATTACAGTCTAGAAAATGGAAGAATCTCGGGGGGCACTGGAGGGTCGCCTGGAATCCACACGCACAGGCGGCCTGGGAAGCCGCCGTCGGGGCGAGCCCCCTTCCCGGGCCAGTTCCAGTCAGGAGCGACTCTTCGGGGCCTGCACTGGGTGTGGGCCCAAGTGAGGGCGTGCGGGTGGGCGCAGGCTCCAGGCCCACCAGCCTTCCCGCGCCCTCCCTATGGCTCCGGGCGAGGGGCGGTCTGAGGGCACAGGCTCCCGGTGGGGAAGAGTGAGGGGAGACGGGGCAGGAGGCAGAGCGGAGGGATGGCCCCGACGGAGGGGTGGCCTTCAGTTGTTCTCAAAGAGAGACAGGAGGTCATCGTTACTATTGCTCGGCAGGTCGGGGGGGTCCAGGTAGGAGAGGAGCTCGTCGGGATTTGTGAGTTCTGGAAGGAGCTGGAAAAGAAGCAGGAAGTCCGGATGAGCTGTCGGCTGAGGCCGGCCCAGGGTGAGCAGTGCAGGCACCCCGGCCTGGTGGCTTCCCTCCACCTGCCTGTTGGGTCCCAGCCAGGGGGACAATAATGGTATGGAGCATGGGCCTGTAGCCGTCCCCAAAGACATCCAGGCCACTGCACCTCGTCTGGGCACACCCATGCTCATTCCAAACCTAGGGGAGGGGCCTGCAGCCCACCTGCTGAGCCCCAGGCTGGGCCAACCCTTCCCTAGGCACAGACTTGAACCTTACAAGCTAGGAGGGCCACATGGCAGGTGGAGGGGCTTCCTCTTGATCAGAGTATCCCTTTGCCCCCACTGACCCTGCTGTGAGGAGCTGCAGGTCACATGGGCCTCCCGGCAGAAATAATGCAGCCCCACACGTAAGCACAAAGAGGTGGGCTGGCAGGCTGGGTGGTCCCCGCAGTCCCCCACTCCCACCCCCGGCCCTCTGCAGCGAGGGCCCGTGGCTCCTTGGTGAGCCTGTGGCTGGCCAGCAGCCGTCCTTCCCGGTGGCCCCTGGCAGAGGCTGTAGACCATCTCTAGCCTCTACAGAGATGTCCTTGGAGTTTTTCTGTCACGTGGGGGAGCCCCAGGAATTTAAAAGATCTCCAATGGCCTGGTCTGGGGAGGAGAGCTGGAGCAAGGAGCTGAGATGGCTGCACAGTGAGTGACTCCTAACCATCACGAAAACTGTCTGACGCCGTCGGGCCAGCTGGTGAAGGACAAGAGTGGCCTGCTCCTCCGGGAGTCCAGCGCCAGGGGTGTGGGCTGAGCACAGCCCCACCTGGCCAGGCCTGTCCAGCTGTTCTGTACCACCCCGCACCTTCCAGACCAGCCAGGCTGCAAGGTGGGAGGCCCTTGAACCTCAGCCACTCACTCTGGCTTGCTGCCCCCAGCTGTGTCCTGCCCCTTATCCTGTCACCCACACGGGGCCCCTTGAAGTGAGCGATGGAGCAAGCAGAAGCAGGGCATGGACGACACGTGGACAAGAAAACCGGAGACAGACAAACACCAGCAAGCTCCAGCCCCTCCCCTGCCTAGGGCCAGAGAACGTGGCAGACACAGAAACAGTGAGCTCAACATGGGGGGCGGGGGAGAAGGGCAGGGACCCTCTCGTGCTGCCCCGAGGACCCTACAGGGGCCTGGGCGGGAAGTGGGGCACCAGTAGGGTGTAGGGCTGTGGCCACAGGGACTGAAGTGGCAAGGGCTGGCGGGGTGGAGGAAGGGGCTGGCGGGGCGGGGGCCATCAGGGACACGTCCCCACTGTGGGGCTTCCTGGTCTGGAGCTGGGACACTTGCTGGGGCCCACCCGCCACCCACCCACCCCTCTTGAGCCCTCAACGCCCACCCCTTCTCTTGGGCAGGTCCCAGCGCCAGGCCGAGCCCCCGGCCAAGGCAAGTGGTGACCCCAACTTACATCCAGCGAAGGCTCCGGCATGTCGGACGCTCCCTGCGCTCCGGCCTGACCCTCTAAGGCTGAGGAGGGGTTAAAGGTCAGGTCGCTGTGTGGATGGTTGCTGGGAGCGGCCTGTGGCGGCTGCCGGGGAGGCTGGGAAGGAGGAGGAGGAGGAGGAGCCCCACTGTGATGTAATGGAGGCCCTGACTGGCTGCTGGGGTGTGGTACGTGCAAACCTTGTATGGAGGGATGGGGCTGGTCAGAACTGCCAGCGTGTGGCATCTGTGGAGGAGGAGAGAGCGGGAGAAAAGAAAGGTGAGGTGACCAGGTACAGCGACGAGATGCCTGAAGAAAATGAAACCAACAAACCAGGGAAGTAACGACCCCCAAAACAAAGCCACCCCTGTACAAAGCTGGATGCTTTTGTTGGGCAGAGAAACAAACAGAAAAATGTGCCCCCCCAAAACCGCCCATCAGGGAGGCTGTGGGGGGGAGGGGGCCTCTGAGGCCGTGTGGGGCCAGAGGGAAGTGGGGAGGGCTTTGAGGCAGGCGGGGAGCCGGCCCGGCCCCCCGCCCGGACACCGTCACCACAACGAACAACAGCGAGGGCAGGATGGAGAAGCAAATGGGCATGTTTCTGGGAGCGGGGCGGGAGGTGCTGCCACAGCATGGCGCGGCCCCGTGGCCGGGCAGTGGAGAGCAGACGCGGACAGACAGCATCGCGCAGGCGTGCGGCTCAGGGCGGGTCTGCACCCCCGAGAGGCCCTGGGGAGGGGCAACGCTGGGCACGAAGGGGCCTTCCCACAGCCGAGGTGTGCGGTGGCCCTGCCTGCCTCCCTGTGGGACTCAGCTGCCGCTGGATGAGCGGGGCGGGGCGGGGCGGGCACCTGGGTGACCATGGGCATCCCTGCCCACTGCCAGGCCCTTCCACCCGGCCACCCCACCAGCCCTCGAACAGGGGTGCTGAGGGAGGCAGGCACCTCCAGGCCCCCAAGGACAACACACGCGTGCACTGGCGACCGGGCTGTCTGTGGGGGAGGGGCTGAGGGAGACCCCAACACTGCCCTGCTAGTGCGTCTGCTGTCCCAAGCAGGCCCTTCCTCCAGAATGAAACGCAAGCCCAAGCCCTGTCCCCCTCTGAGCATCCCAGCAGACCCAGCCCCACTCACGCTCTGCAGCCAGGGGCTCACAGAAGCTCCAGGTGCTCAGCGGGAACAGGCAGGCTGGTCGCCAAGGTTCCCTGGTCTTTCACTGATAATCCCCCGCACCCCTGCCCCGACTCCGGGGCCAACAAAGCAGTGACATGTTCTTCCTTCTTGAGTTGGGAATTGGCAGCCATACCACCCCTGGTCTTCCCCAGACCCCAGCTCCTCTTCCCGATCCCCTTAAAACTGCTCCCTGGGGCCTCGCTGCAGGACGGCCTCTGCCCACAATGTGGGCGCCCCTCCTTGTCAGGGTACAGCGTCCCCCCATGTGGCCCAGGAGGTCCAGTGTCCTTCCAGCCCAGGCCCTAACACCAGGGGATAACTGCACGGCATGGGCTCTGGCTCCCTGGGAACCTGAGTGCGGGATGTACAGGAGGAAGGGGCTGTCAGTGAGAGGCCAGCTGTGGTCCCTGTCCCTGTGGACGCCCTGCAGTGCCCATCCCGGGGAAGCGCGTGAGCAGCTCAGCTCATGACAGACAGCCCCTGGGTCTTCTGACCAGGCTGTCTCCCTCGGTCCTGCTGAGGGCATGGGAGAGTTCTGGGTGCGCCGGCAGCTGGTTGGGACACTCCGGCCAGTCCCTGCCTGCGTGCGTCTCTCCCAGCCATGTGCTCAGCCGGGGGTGCGGCTGCCTCCGGCTGGACAGGTGTGGCGGGAGTTTACCCGGGACTGCCCCCTCCTACCTCGCACAGCTGTACTTCCAGGTCTGGCTGCCCTCTAGTAAGAGCTTGGAAACGGGAAGGACGGGGCCACCTAGGGAGCACCTTGCGGGGCTCTGAGGTCAAGTCACAGGCTCAGGCTCCTTGCGCAGAGCCCAGGTGGCAGGGCTCACGGGAGGCAGGAACAAGCCTGCCTGGTGAGCGGAAGGCTACGGAATTCCTGCTGCCACTTTCCAGCATTAGGAACCGTGAAGGCTCCGGATGTGTGCAGTGTGGGTGTCGGTGTGTGTGTGCAGTGTGTGTGACTGGGGTGTCTCCTGGGCATAGAATGCCCTCAGGGCTGAGGAAGGAGGACAAAGCCAGAAGCCCCAAAAGTCGGATCCCCCACAGGGCGGACAGTAACTTTTGAAAACGTGGCTAAAGCACCACAAAGTAGCTATTTTTGACTCAGCGTCCTGGGGAGAGCCGTGTGGTGCTTCCTCCTCCCCCCAGAATTCTTTTGGTTAATTTCACTCCTCCTAAGAATTAAGGGTGGCTCTGGCCACGCTCAGTGGCCAGTGGTAAAGCCAGGTCCGTGTCGGGCGTGTGGAACACAGTACAATGCAGAGGTCCCTTCCTTCCAGGCTACGTGAAGGGCGAGGAGAGGCCTGGAGCAGCGCCCTCTGGCACAGCCCACCCCACAGGCCCACCCACCGCCACTGCCAGGCACTGGTGAGGGCCCTGGGCCGCCAGGTCCTCAGCAACTTGCCCCTCCTCCTGCTAAGGCTAGAAACCAGGATGACTTGCTTGAAGCTCTTACTCGAGGGGGAGAGGGGCATGGGCAATATAAGTAACCTTAACACTTGTACCCCCATAATACGCTAAAAAATAAATAAATACATTAAATTAAATTAAATTAAAAAAAAAAAAGAAACCAGGATGACTGAGGCTTCGGACAAGCCCCTTCAGCCCTTGGGCCTCAGTTTACCCCAAACTCCAATTGTTCTTTCCCCACCAGGGCACTGCCAGAAATTTTGTTTGCTCCATTAGCACTTGGCCCGTCTGTCTTGCTCAACACCTTGTCACCAGGCCTGGCCCAGGGCACGACTCAGAAAACGGTTGTTAAATTGAGCGGGCTCATCCCGCACTCACTAGATGAGGACCCCGGGGGACAGGAGGCCTCCTACCCCTGCGCCGGGGCCACCGGGAGGGAGGGCCCCAGGACAGCACAGAAGGAGCTGTCTCAGCAACACGGGTACTACGGGTCAATAAATGCGAAACAGGACAAGAACTGAATACTCTGAGGATAATTAGAGTTCCTGGCATTTCTCCTTGCAGGAGGTGGTAACGCCCTGAACATTCAGATTCTCGGGGCACAGGTGCTCAAGTTTGGGACAAAAGTGGGAACCGTGTTATGTCAGTCAGTGTGAGAATGTGCTAGTGTCCAGAGAATCCGAAGTCCTGGGAGAAACAGCCAAGTCCAAGGACACCAATGGGCCATAACTCAGCTTCAGTCAGGCCTCTTAGACCTCTCTGAGCCCCTGACCCACTCCTTAGTCCTCCCCTTTGCCTGGGAGGGAACCGGGGAATCTGCATCCCACGGGGAGCCCTCTGCCCCTGTCAGCACCCCAGGGTGGGGAGTGGGCGGGTGAGGCGGAGGTACTCACAGTTTCCTGCATGGGGTGACTGAGGGGCTTCTCAAGGGCGGCCATGTTGTTGGGCATGTCCGGGGGGTGGGAGAGCTGGGGGGGCCCGTGCATGAAGTCATTCATGGATGTCCCACCGGGGTTCCCGTGGGGGAAGTCAAAGTTGCCATGGCCTTGGTAGTTGTTGCCTGGGAAGGGAACGAGATGGGGAAAGGGGGTCACCCAGAGGGAAGGTGGCCACCCTGTGGGAACAGGGAGTGTGTAAAACTACCAGCCAAGTCCTTTTCCTCCCAGGAGGCTGCAGTCAGCTCCCACACCTGACACTGCCAGGCTGTACCAGGGAGCAGCCATGCCGCCTTGCTCCGTGGGCCCTGGCACCCCAGGGCGTGCACTGCTCTCACTGCTGAGGAGGAGGGACAGAGTGAGAGGAAGGGGGTGAGCCAGGCTCCTGTGGGGCTGGGGAGGACATGGAAGGAGGCCCAAGCCTGAACCTGAAACAGGATCTGCTGAGTGGGTCCCCCATGGCCACAGCGGGTGGTCAGGTTCTGCCAAGTCCACAAGAAAGCTGCGCCAGACTCAAGGTGACACCATCAGAAGCCAGCTGTCTGGCCTCGCTGGGCACTGTGCCCTCCACCACGAGGCGATGGTGAGGGTCAGAGGATTGGAACGCCGGGGGGCTGGGGCCCTCAGCACGCTGTAGGCTCTGGCTAGCTGGGCTAACCTCTCTGGGCCTGTCTTCACCCAGGAGTGCTGGGGACTTGAGATCAGGGATCCTGGTGAGGGAGCTGCCACCCTCCGTATTTGAGGGTAAGGTGTTTTCCAGGAACCAAGTGTCAGAAGGGGTGAAGCTTGGTCTGGGCAGCAGGGAGCCTAAGAGCCAGTGACAGTGATTTTGGTGGCCAAAGGCTAGGACTAGGAGCCCAGACTATGTCTCTGTGAGGGTGGGAAGGTTGTAGGGATAGGGCTGAGTTTTGTCCCTTCTGGCAAGTTACAGATACAGACGGTACAGCAAAATACAGGAGGCCGGGGTGGGCGGGGGGAGACAGGAGCTCCCGGTGGGGTGTTCTATCAGCAGCCCCAGCGCAAGCTGCCTGGGGAGGCGGTGGCAGCTGTACAACCAGCAAAGCAGGCTCTGCAGCCCCTGGGCGAGGGCTGACATACACTTAAGTCTGGTAATCTGGGAGATTTTGGGGGGAGCTATGTTACCTCTGCCTCTTCAACCACACCCTGTGCCATACCTGCCACCATCAGCACAGAAATCCTGTGCCCCTGCGGAGACTCAGGGCCGCCCTCCTTCTCCCCCTCCCTATTGGGCATCACCCACCTTGGCTGCTGTAGTCGTTGGAGTTGGCGCCCCCGGGCGGAGGCGGGAGCGGGTAGGGGGATGGGCCGGGGCCCAGGGCCGCAATCATCTCCATGACGTTGGGCATGATCATCTGGCTGGGACTCATGGTCTTGAAGCGCTTGGAGGGGATGCCGTCAGGGTCATCCTTGATGTGTAGGTCTGACTTGATGGGCACCGGCCGCCAGCTGCACGTGGGGTCAATGGTGACCTCTTCAAACTCGGAGCTGCGGGGAGCAATGGGGGCAGAGCTGAGGCTCTGGGGTGCCGGGCTTTGGACACGAAAAGACACGGAGACATCCTTGCCAGACCCCTCGCTGTCACTCTCCCCACACTGTGCACAAGACAGAGCCTGGTAGGGTCGCTCCCGTCTGTTTGGGAGATGGGCAGTGGGAAAAGCAAGTGGCTGGCACAGGGCAGCTGGCCTCAAGGCCTCCCAACCGGTGAGCAGCTATGGGGGTACTGTTGGCTTCTTGCTCCGGCTGAGTTTTGTCCCTTCTAGAAAGTTCATTTGCCCCAGGTCAAGAGGCCTCTGAGGCCAAGTGACAGAGAGGTGAGGGATGTGGGTCAGTGGTCTGCCAGTGGGGTCGGGGGCTGTGCCAGGGCTGTCCACACACTCATCTTTCTCCAGTCCCAATCTCGCACCCTGCCCCACCTGCCCCTGGCCACCCTGGCCAGGGCCGCACTTACTGTTGGATGGCATTCAGGATGCCCCACATGTACTGATCCACCTCCAGGCCCTCGAGCAGAGCGGTTTTACTGAAAAAGGAGAGCGACAGCTTGACCTTTGCTCTTGGTCCCGACGAAAACGGGGCATAGCCCACCCTCCCAGCTAGGTCCAGATCCCACTCCTGTGACAGCTTAGAATTTGAGCCCCTCTGCTGTGTCGGGTTCTGTTTTGCTTTTAGGGCAGGTGGAGGTGGCTGGAGACCCAAGAACAGGGCCAGAGGGAGGCCACAGGAGATCTGCCCCTTTGCAGTGGGGTGGGGGCATCACTCACTTGCACACAGGACACCTCCAGGTTCCTCTCTCGCAATTTAGCTGCAGGTACGACTCCAGGTCAAAGCACTGCAGAGGCCACAGACAGACAGACAGGAGAAACCAAACGGTCAGAAACCATGGAGCCATGCCTCAGGGTTCCCTGGGAAGATGTCCCCACCAGGGAGGGTGACAGGTGGTGGGAGAGACCCAGGGCTGGGGCTTAGGTGCAGGGAAAGGCATGCCACCTTTCTGCCCCACCAAGTCCCCAGTGTCTCTGCCCCAGCACCCCTCACACCGCCTCCCATCCTGAGTGACCCCGCGCCTATGTCCTCTAAGCCTCCCTGTACCCCAAGTTTTTGCTGTGTGACAGCCCTTCCCACTGAGGCCAGGGAAGCGTGGACTCTGGCCACCTCTTCAGCCTAGATACTGAGAGCAAATCTGGGCAAGTTCATCCATCGGTCTCGGACAAATAAAGTAACCAGACTACCCATTGCACCTGCCACTTTCTTCTGGAGGGAGGAGGCTCCTGTCCTACTATGAAGCCCTCAGGAGCAGCGGAGGGTGACAGCCCTGGGCCCCCTCTGCAGCCCACATCCAGGTCTTGCAGGGAGAGCCCCCAGCCTGGGCTGCCCACACTTTGCACGGGGCTGCCACAGGCTGCTCAGACTGTGACAATTGCTCATGCCACAGCCACTTACTGAGTGCCTGCTCGGGCCAAGGCCCTGAGCACAGCGTGACCCAAGCAGAGGCATCCCTGACCTCGGGCCTCGTAATAGCCATAGCTGTATGTGCCAGACTTCCAGCTGGCAGCTGCCATTTTGCCAGAGTAGGGACCGTCCACACCCACTTCTGCAGCCCCCCTAACCCAGCCTGAGCACACAGACAAGATGCTCCGAGGATAAATGACGGCTGAAAGGAGTGAGTGAAGTCGGCTGCTGACTGCCATGATGCCCTCTGGGGACAATGTTTCTGCAGACCCTGTTGTCCCCTCTGCCTACCCCTGGCCACCCAGCCAGAGTCCGGGTGGCTTGGCCTAGAGCTGTGCTCCCTGGGGCCGCTCACCTGGACGTGCTTGCAATCGTGGCCTCGAGCAGGCAGCTGGATGCGCCGGAATGTGATGGGGCACTTCAGAGACACCTTGATGGCCGTCTGCTCCACGCCGTCCTCCCCGTTGAGGGTCGTGTTGCCTGACGAGGCAGCCACACTGCTGAAATTCCGCTTGACTGTGGGGCGGGAGGCGAGGGCGGGTGAGGAGGGCCGGGCAGTACCTCGAGGGGGCAGGTCTACACTGCTCCCCACTGGCTCGTGGCTGAAGCCCACCCTGCTTCTCCCCAGCCCCACCAAAGAGAAGGCCCAAAGTGGAGCAGTCAGTCCCCTGGGTTCCTTGGGCCACCCTGCATTCTGGAAGGCAGGTCCCCCATCTCTGCAGAACAGGCCTGTCTTTATCAGGAACAGGGGACTTTCTGCAAAGCTGGAGGACACCCAGCCTGGCACTTCTCTGCTTTACTGGGTCAGTGACAAGCACCCCCAGGCGCTTTTGCACTGAATTCTTAAAGTGTGGAAACAGACACGGACAACTGCCAGGTGGAATTCTAGGGCTCGAGGAGCCGCTGAGAAGAAGCAGATGCTAAGAGAGGGGCAGTCACACATCTCTCCGCACAGAGCCCCCATGTCGGCACCCTGGGCGTCTCCTCCAAAGAAGTGGACTCTAAGCCAGGTCCCTCTGAGTTCAAGGTTAAGCTGCTGAGGTGGGGAGGCCAACCTGGCATCCACCCCCTGCCCTGTGCCTCCCGCCTCATGCAGATCCTTTTCCAAATCCTCCCATCCCTAAAAGCCTGACCTAGGCCACCACCTTCTCCAGGAAGCCTGCCTGGACTGTCCTAACCATGGCATTGTGCATCTGTCCTGTCTCCCAGGCTGAGCAGCCAGCTGTCCTGTACAGGCTGGGTCCCAGAATTCCTGCCCGGCCTTGCAGTCCCTGGCTCATCCGATCAGCACTGCAGCCCCAGCAGGAGGGCATGGGTCTGAGCTGGGGACTGGTGCTCAGGAACACCCAGAGCCCAGTGGCTATGTGCACAGAGCCGGAGGTTGGTACCAGGTAAAAAGTGACTATTTTTCAGCCCCAAACTCAGGTGGGGCTGGAGTCTGGATCCTGGTCCCCAGCCCGACTCACTTTTTGTGATACAGTGCTCCGCGGGCAGGAGGCGCTTCTTGAGGAGGCCTTGCAGCACGGAGCGGACAGAGGGCCGGTGCACCAGCTGCAGCACGAAGAGGTGGGACTGCGGAGAGGGGGCAGACGCTCAGTTCCCACCTGCAGGCCCCACGCCCCATCCACCTGCAGCCTCTGCAGCCCTAGGCCACCCCCAGGCCTGAAGAACCCCCCAATCCCACAGTGATGCCACCCAGGACACGGACAGAGATAGACGCAGGGGCCCAGGATGTGTCCTGGGACCTGCGAGCCCAGGCACTCAGGCTGGGGTCACCACTCTGGGAAAGCTGCCTCCACTCCAGCCAACAAGGCGACTGACGCTGACACAGCCCCTGGACACATGGCATCAGGATTGGCACCTGCCTTGCTTCCTGGCCTCCTCTACCCCTACTGCTCCCCAGCATGTAGCCTTGGCCCTTCCTGCTAGAGGCTCATCCTTGTCCTCACTCCTCCAGGAAGCCTTCCGGGATGGTACACCCCAGCCACCCCACCCCAGCCCCCGACAGCTGTGCAGCCGCACACAGCACCGCCGTTCCTGTGACTCCTATCTCCATGTGGCCTCAGCGCCCTATGCTCGAAAAGAACAGGAACAGAGAGGTTCCTTCTCCGTGTCCCCCAGGGAGGTCAGCAGAGCAGGCTGGCAGTTTACTTCCAGGCAAGTGTCTTGAGCAAGGCCTGTGTGCTGGGCCCTGATCTCTGGGGGACAGGAGGGTGGCAGAGAGGTGGTCCCAGATCAGCATGTCACGGGTTGGAGGGACACATGCACATGACTGTAGCACAACAGGTTTGGGGAAGGAGGGAGGGAACTAACTCTGGGTTTGGTGGAGTTGGCTCTAAGGGAAAACGGGGTGAGAATATGACAATTTCTGGTGAGCAGAACACAGCTTGGAGGGACACACAGAACTTCCCTGACGGGGTACAGGGGAGAAGGTGGCCCTACAGTGGGGTAAGGTAGAGGTGTGTGCAGAGAACGGATGGGGGCCGAGCGTCCAGGGGAAAATGGCCACGTCTGAAGCCGCTGAGCGTGACGCTTATTCTGCGAGCTGGGTGGTGGGAGGGCCCTGCAGGCTGTGGAGCTGTGCTTCTGGACGGTCGCTCGGCGGCTATGGGCAGGGGGACGATGCCCAAGGACAAGGCCGAGGACCAGAGGGGGTCGGGTGTCCGTGCTGCCTGTGCCCCCGGGCCCCAGGCGCCCCGCCCCCACTCACGCAGCAGCAGGCCGTGACGGTGATCTGGATGGTGTTGCGGCCCGGCTGGCACACGTGCTTGAGGTGCAGGGGCTTGTGGGACGTCTTGTTGTCGCCGCGCTCGATGGTGAGGGGCGTGGCGTTGACGCTGACCTGCACCGAGGCCGGCCAGTTGGTGTTCATCTGCCGGTCCTCGTGGTGGTAGCACTTGAACTGCAGCTCCAGGTCGGACCTGGGTGAGGCGGGGCGGGCGGCTCAGCATGGGGGGGCGGGGTGGGGCTGTCCGTGGCCTCTGTGACCCCGAGGCAGGCCGCACACCTCTGCACGCACCACAGCCTGAGACCCCCAGGACCCCATCCCCGGCACGACGGCTCCCCCAGCCTCACCGAGTTCTGGTCCTCACCCTGCCTACCCCTCCTCCACATCTCCAGTGAAACCGCCCAGCGCCCAACCTGCCCCCACGCCCCCCATGCCGTTCTCTCCTGCCACACCCCGCGCTCTGGCGACAATCTCCCCAGTTCCCCCAGGACAGAGGGACGGAAGGACAGACACTAATCTGACCAGACCGGCTGCGAGGCTGATGATGCCCGTCTCCAGAACCGTTGGCAGCAGCCCTCCCAGGCCAGGGCCATGTCTGGTTTAGCCCCCCCACCCCCAAGGTGGTCCCCGAGGACACAGCACTGACGGAGTGGCAGGAACCAGCAGCAACCCCACAGGCGTGACAAAAAAGAAGGGAGAGGGGGCCTCCCAGGCAAGGACACTCCCAGGTAGGGGGAGTGGGTGAGCAGGGCCCCAGCCCAGGCAGGCTGCAGCGCGGGATGTCCAGTGCCGGGAGACTCCCCACTCCGGCCCGAGTGGCCTGGCTCTGTGTCCTAAGTGCCCATGCCAGCTTGCTGCAGTCCCCTCAGCATGGCTGAGGCGATGGGAAGGGGGTGTGTGTACACATGCCCAGTGCAGAGAAGCATCTCTTGCCCTCCAGATGCTCACTGGGCAGCCGAGGGGGCCCCAGTCTCAGGCACGGTGACACAGTGTCAGTCTTGCCTGAGGACAAAGGACCCAGGGGTGGAGAAACCCACGGGTTGGTTCTGACATTCAGGAGACCTGGGCCCAAGTCTCAGATCTGCCCCTTGCTAGCTGTGAGAACTTGCACAGACTAATCCACTTCTCTGGCCTCAGTTTCCTCATCAGTCAAAAGGGAAGGCGTTGCCCACTCCCAAGATGCAAGCAGGTCACACGTGGAGGCCCTGAGCACAGGACTGGCCCAGCAGAGCAGCTCCAGGCCCTGCGCCCCTGCACGTCCCCATGTGCCTAGCAGCCGCCAGCCCGGTGCCCAGCCCCGTGCAGCCTGGCGCAGGCCTGCCTCCCTCGCTGGACTCTCCACTTTATAGTCCCAACTCCTGCCATGTGTCACTCTCTAACCCTGACTGCCGCTCCCTCCTGCCAACTCGAGGCCTCAGCTGGGATGCCCTCCTTCTCACCTTTAGGTCTGACCTGGCCACCTTTCCCTCTGCGTCAGTGACAGCTGCCCCCCGCCCATGGGCCAGGATGCTGGGCTGTCCACGTGACATGCCCACAGGCCCCCTGTGACACCCCCAGACCCTCGCACAGGGAGGGCCTGGTGAAGGATATGGAACAGGTGAAGGTGACAGAAAGAAGCTAGTCACCCCGGGGGCCCCCACCCTGACACGCACCTCCACATCAGCGTCTGGTGGACCGTGGGCCGCAGGTGGAACACGTGGTTGCTGACAGCCAGGTTGTGCTCCAGGCGGAAGGGCTCCAGCACCACGCCGTCCCGCACGGGGAACGTGAGCCGCAGCTCGTCGTTGTGGTTGGCTGGGGTGGGAGAGGAGCCAGGTGAGCCACGCGCCCTGGCACACAGGAGCGTGGGACTCCAGGGCCCCGGGTGGGACTCGCTCACCCTGGGCTGAACACCCAGAGGACGCAGCGTGTGTGCATGTGCCCAGCACACGCAGGGAGCCATGTCTTTATCCCAGACACCTGGCCCAGCCCAGCCACGCATCCCCTCTGCTCCCACCTGCCTCCCTGCTCCAGAAGCCCAACCTGCTCCTCCCACAGCAGGGGGCGGCCCAGCCCCCACCCCAAACATCCCTCTGGGTGGGGCCTACCTGCTCTTGAGCCCTCTGCCCTGTCTGCAAGACCCCCCCAGCCAGGGGGGCCCCCGGGTGGAGCTGCCTGACAAGGTGGGACCCTCACCTGGGGGCGGCGGCAGCGCGCTCATATTTGGCTTGATGTCAGGCGGGAAGGGTGGTTTGACGTCTTGGCTGGGGGACAGGTAGGGAGGGATGCTGCTCCCGGGGGTCATGGGGGGCGTGGGGTTTCCTGGAACAGGCGAGTGGGGGTAATTTGCCACAGGAACCGGCCTGGGAGGCTGGAGGGAAAGAGAGACCACACAAAGGTTATGGGGTCACGGGCACGGAAGGGGCCACGGCTGCGGACACACACCTACGGCCCTCCTGCCGGGGGAGGAGAGCCTCCCCCAGGGAAACCCTCCTTCCCCTTCAGCTGGTCTCGCACCTACTGAGCTCCTCCAGTGGTGGGTGGACACAGACCCCCACCCACCCACGTGGCCAAGGGGGACACTAGGCTCAGGTGGGGGACTCGTCTGATAGAACCCTGGCAGGAGAGGACGTCTCCTGCTGCCACCCAGGCACGCACCCCATGGCAGGACTCCAGGCCACACCCTGCACACCCACCCACCCCTCCAGGGCCCCCAGATGGAGTCGGGGCCTGCAGAATCCCAGGCGCAGATTCCCCAGGGCCCCTCCCTCTCTTCTGGTCCTCGCCTTGCTTTCTTTCAGGACAGGCACGGCCCACACTTGTCCCCGCTTCACCCACCCAGAGCTGTGGAGTCTCAGTCCCAGGCATCTCTGTGCCCCAGAACAGATGACCCGGAAGTGTACCCCAACCCACGGACCCCTCCTAATGAGAGGTCAGGGCAGGAATAGCACAAACCCTTAGACACAACAATTGCATGTGGGTTAGAATTTCAAAAATTAAAATGGAACATACCCTATTGACGTTCCCCTGGCTGTAGTTGCTGTAGCTGCTTCCCGAGAAGGTGTTGTTTTGTCCATTAAACTGTTCTGGCTGTGAAAACAAGACAGGTGATGCTATAGTGGGAGGCGGGAGAGCCATCAGGGGCCCCCTCTCCCTCCTGGTGTCACGCCCGCCAGGAGCCAGGGCCTGCTGCGGACACCACGCAGGGCAGGGGAGTGAGAGGGGCAGGCCAGGCCTCCCCTCGGGGACAGCGTTTTGCCTCTCTCTGTCCACAGCCGTGAATTCAGCAACACAGTTTACAAAAATAGCAACACCTAGTGTGCTGAATTTGGAGTGAAAATGGCAAACCCATATGGTGGCTGGTCATGTAAGCTAGCACGGTTCTTTGGCAAATAAACGTAAAATGGCGAAGAGTCTTCTTCACTCCTGAGAATGTATTTTATAATAATTCTGAAGAAGGACAAGGCTGTATTCTTGAAGAGATTCTTTACAACATTACTAAAGAAGTGAAAAATCAGAAGCAACCCAAATGTCTTATAGAGAGGGAATAATGATATGGTTATTTTGGTGGAACATTAGGCAGCCATTAAAAGTAAAAACTATAGAAACTATCTGTAGCAATAAGTAACACGTTTATGATTTCACGTTAAGTAAGAGATGCAAAATCACAGCTGGAGTAACAACCTGACAACATGCTGGCGCCCATCTGCATGTAGGGAGACAAAGTTTCGAATGAAATGTTAATGTATCCAGGGTGTGTGCTTTTCGTTTAAAAAATGAATTTCCTTTATCACCTTGTGAATGCCACAAATAGGACACGGAGAAGACAAGCCATCATCCGAGCCCCATGGGAATAGGAACCAAGAAAAGCCAGTCTGACTTTCTGGCCACCGATCTCAGCTCTGAGCACACGGGGGCACCCAGAAACCTCCATCTACCCCTAGGTGTCTTCGGGTGGTGTTAGCGATGTGAGGCGCAGGGAGGGAAGGGGCGAGGCTTGGGGTGGTGCGGGCACCCCAACAGTGGGACTCACCTTGTAATACTGCCCCATGTTGACCGTGGGGGGCGGGTACTGCCCGGTGCTGGGCTGGCTTGGCATCCTTTGCCCCGGGTAGTTGGGAGAGGTGAGCGGCCTCGGGGGGTTGGGGGTGGGGTACTGGCCTGGCTGGGTGGGGAACTGGCTGTTTGGTCCGTATTGCTGGTTTCCGTAGTTGGGCTGCGGGGGCAGAGAAAGGACAGGAGAAAGGTCACCAAGTTCTCATAGCCAAGATGCTCACCTGAACACCAGGACTGCGCCCACCTCCTCTGCTTGGCCTGGGCTACTGACCACCCACAAGCCACCCTCCCCCATCTGTAAAAGGGGGAGCAGCCAAAGCAAATGATGCCCGAGGCCCCTTCTTGCCCTGATATCCAGGGACAGTGCACGTTGCCTGTCCAGCTAATGGGCCACCTGCCCAGAAAGTTGTTCTTCCTGGAGCAAGACCCTCTGAACTCCAGGCACGCTTTCACAGCCTCTCATTCAGGCCATGATGAGAGGGGCATCTCCTAGTGCTTGCTTCGGGGCTGTGTCACGCAGTGTGCACCTGATGTGGCGGAACAGTCAACAGGCCATGCTTCCAGAAAGGTGACCCCGCACCCCTGCGTTCTGAGACTGAACGTGGGTGGCGTCCTTCCCGCGCCCCGCACAGAGCAGAACACACACCTGGTGTTCACTTCCAGGCTATCTGCAATGTCTGTGCAGAGGCCGCGAGCACCAGGTTGGTGCAGGGACAAGACAACTTCTCCCAGGAGGAGCAATTTAGAGAAAAGAGACAGTGCCACCCTCCAACCACCTTCCCTGTCTGAAAAATCAGGGGACCCTCAGGGCTGTGACATCCTGTGCATCCGTGGTTTCTTCTTCTATCTGTGGAAACTCCCTGAGTGTCTCTCTTGCATTCTAGGCCCAGAGGTCCTGTTGGTGGCTGTGTCCCTGTGCCTGGCAAAGTGCCCTCAATCAATACTTGCTCAACACACGAAGGCCCTGGGGTAAACATCACAGCGTGTCAGCGTGGAGGAACTCTCTAAAGCTCATGCTGTTGCGACACGCTGGTGGTTCTGTGCGATAGTGAGGCTCCCATCACGGGAGGTGTGTAAATGGCTGGTGCCTGCCCACCCGCCAGGCTGAGAACCGAATCCTCTGTGGGGCCAGGTGACCCAACTCCAGCTCCTGCCCTAAGGTTCTAACAATTCCAACACTGAATAAGGGCCCCAGTGGGCGGAAGGCCAGCTTTCCCATTCAGGGTCAGGCCTTGCAGGCTGTGACCGCCCCGTGGCACAGCCCAGTGCCAGTTATTTTGCAGCTGAGCAGCAGCAATATTCTACGAAGAGGATGATTAACGCAGGGAAGATACCGAGAGCCCCTGGCATGCTCTCTCGGGGCAGGCAGAGCCGGGCGCTCAGCTTTGGTGCAGGTGCAGAGTGGCGCTAATGACCAGGGATTCCGCCGCAGCCTCCCTGCACGTCGCCTCCCCTGGTCTGGAGCCCTGGGGCTGGGCTCACAGATGCATCCTCCAGCCCGGACAGTGGGGACTCTGGGAGCTTGAGCACAGAGGAGGCTGAGAAGAGGCCCACAAACTGTGTGGCGGCTGTGCCCGGGGGGTGAGGCCAGGAGCTCGAGGTGCCCTGAGGACAGGCATGGCCTGGGAGCCAATGGCCCTTCTCTGGCCCCTCCCTGAACTGTTGCTGACCATGCCAAGGGTCAGGGCTGGCCCGAGCCTCCTGGATCCCTGACCTCTCTCTCCCCTCTTGGACTTGGGACACCTCTCCCCATTGCCAAACCACCCAGCTCATGCAAGGGTGGATGCTGAGGGGAACTGCACAGATCTTCTAGGAACTTAGAGTCTTTGGGATTAAACCCCACTGTTAGCCCACGCTGAGCACCACGATCCTGAGACCAGACGGGAGGAGGAAACCTTCCCGAGAGTGGGTGTGAGAGCAGAGAGCTGGGCGCCGTGCTTAGGGGGTGCCGGGCAGGCTCCGCAAGGGGTGTCTGCCAGCTCAGGATCCCGGAGCCCTGTGTCTTCTGCAGGTGCACTAAACGCTCCCCTGGGTACCCTTGTTTCCAAGTGTTCCCTGGAGGCCCTGTGACATGCCCTCTGGACACCTGCCTTCTCTGGACCACAATGAGTCCCACACAGCCTGCGCGCACAATTCCTGTGTGGGTTTCTGCACAAACCTTTTCTCTCCTGCTAAGGTCTCCGTTCCCGGAGGGCAGGAGGTGTGGGTTTTACTCCCCTAAGTAAAACTTCTTCGTTGGGTTTTACTCCCTAAGTAAAACTACTTCGTGTGGGTTTTACTCCCTAAGTAAAACTACTTCGCCCAACACCTCGGCTGAGCCAGCGGCAGTGCTGCTCCCAATAGAGCGACAGACCTCGGACGGACACCAGCCCTCAGAAGCACACTGCCTGTGTGCGATCGTCCCCGACATGCCCGCCTTCGTGCTCTGCAAGGGCTGGTCTCAGCTCTCACTTCTGGAGGGAGGGTGGGGAAGTCCTCACGTGGGTGGGAAGAACTAAACCCCAAGTCACCCGTGACTGTCTGAGCCAGGGTGGGGGAACAGCTGGAGCAGCTGCTGCTTGCCGAATGGCTGCACGAGCCGGTCCAGGGTGAAGCACGCCACAGATGTCCCCTACTCAGGTCCCCAAGCAGCCTGAGGAAGTGGGTTGCAGTGCCACGGCCATTTATAAAAGAAAAAATTAAGACTAGGGGAGGTGGCATGACTTGCTCAAAGTCTTCCAGTTGGAAAGTGGTGGAACCAGCTCTCGAACCCAGGGGCATCTGGCTGTTAAGGTCCTGCCTCTTGGTCCAGGTGTTCTGAGGACGAGCCCGCCCTTCCAAGGCACTGCCCACAGCCCCGCGTGTCCGAGCCCAGGCCTCCCACCTGCCCGCTGCCCCACTCACCTCTCCCGGGTATGGCCTCTTTATGCTCTGAATGGGGAGGGACTGGGGCCGGGGGCCCGGGTACGTCTGCTGGGGCATCCGCTGCCCGTGTGTGCCAAATGGGCTGATGCCGGGCGGCCGGGGCTGGTTCATGCCCATGGGAGGGCCGCTCATCCCCGAGGGCGTCATCCCAGCCGCCATGCTCGCGGGGTTCATGCTGCCCCCCATGGAGGCAGGCCCCCGAGGCCCGGGCTGGTTCATGAATTGGCTGTTATACGCCTGGGTGGGACCCATCTGGAAAGAGGAACAGACCTTCAACGGGAGAAGAAGAAAAAAAAAAAGAATAAAATGCCACATGCATTGAAAGTGCAGGGAGGGAGTGGTGGGGGCTGGGGGAGGGGCACTTTCCTGTGTGGCTGCCGCAGGTGTGTCACCAGGGCCCAAAGGAGCTCGGTCCTCCAGGGCTCCCTGCTGCCCTCTGCAGGCCGCACAGGAAAGATGCAGCTGGGGGTGTCACGGGCTGGGTGGGGGTGGGGTCACTCCAGTGCACAAGCAGCATTTCCAGGGAGGCAGGCAGGGCACAGGGAAGAGGGTGCAGGGGCGGGGAGGGGCAAGGGAGGGTGGAGGTGGATGAGGATGGAGGCAGGAGCCCGAGTGAGGCTGACGCCCTTTCCTGGAAGTCCGGGCCCCTCCTTGGTCCTGGCCAGTGGAGACACACGCTCCATCCACAAAGTCAGACTCCGCCCAGCTTCCACTTCTGCCCACTGCCCTGCAGTCCCCAGCCCCACGCCCCTGTCCTGCAGGTCTATCGGGGCACCCCTCTCCTCACCCCTACCCAATCCTTCTGGAGGTCAGGGGAGCTGCACCGGGGCCCGGACAGAACCCCCAGATCGGGTGATGAGGACGACACTGGCCTCAGAAGCCACCCAGGAGACAGACTGGGGCCACAAGGCAATTTTGAGACACCAATCCCACTCTTCGGTGAGTAGGGGACCAGAGAGCAATGTGTGACCCTCTTCCCCATACAGTCACATAAGAGCCACCAACCCACGCAGAACAAACAAGAGTGCTCAAATACCCCCTGCCACAGCCAACCACACTGACACGGCCACACTCTAACACACACCCCTCCACGTGTTTCCAAGAAAACCCAAATGCACCCTGACGGCACCAGCTCCCCAGGCACACACGGCCCCACAAGCACCCGCACCCCAGCTCTGATTCCCTGGGGCTGCCTGCCTGGCTGGGCCACGCTGGACCAGGACTAGCGGGGACCCTTACCGGTCCATACTGGTTTATATCCTTGTTCTGCGTCTCCTGCAAGGCTGCCACGGTGGCCGTGGCGGTGGCTGTGGCCGTGGCTGCTGCTGCCGCCACTGCCGCTGCTGCGGCGGCGGCCGCTGGCTGAGTGAAGTCAGCGGGCGGCCTGGTGTGCGGAGGGATACCCATGCCCGCGGGGGCGTTAGGACCCCCAGGGTAACTGCAGGGAGAGAAGGACGGAAGAGTTAGACGTTGCCTGCATCTGCAGAGGAACCCATGACAAGCCTTGGGCTGGGAGGGAGAAGACGTGACTGTGCCCAGAGGGGACAGGGCCTGCTGGAGGTGGCAGCCATTCAGGCCACACATGGTGACTGCCACGCCGCTGTGCTCCGGAGCCCTCACTGCGTGCTGGGAGGCGCTGCCCCTCACTGCATGCTCGTGAGCCCATCCCCTGCCTCAGCAGCCTGCCCAAGGCCCTCCAGCAGTGACAGTGGAGCTGCGGGTGCGGCCCCGGGTGTGTTTGACACCTGTGTTTAGCCACCAGGCTGCACTGCTCTGCCAAACCCTGGCCAGAAACCCGCCGTGGTCAGTCCCAGGAGCTGGCAAGGGGCAAGGCCGAAGTAGGGGCTTAAGGACAGGGCTGGCGGCAAGAGGAGGGTGGGTGCCTCTGCCTGTCTGCATCAGTCCCACCTCACGTCCCCTCCCAGAGGTCCTTCCTGGGATTTCCGCCCCTCCCTCCTTCCTCCTGACCCCAGGGACTCCCATCTCTGCGCAGTTCTGCCCTGGAGGGTCAGCAAGGCAGAGCCGTTTCCTCAGGCTGCTTAACCATCTCTGCACAACAACCTACGGCTGCTCTTCACTCTCCCGGTCCAGCTCTCTCAACGTCTTCCAATTTATTAAAGACACGAGGCAGAGAAGGGTCATTTGGGGGGATGAGAACATCTCCCTTCTACGCCATGGGCCTGACAGCTGTCACAACAGGCCCAGCTGCTGCGGCACCTGCGGGCCAGCCCCAAGAGCTGGGGATGACTGTGTCCCTTCGATGCATGGGACAACCGGGGACAAGACAAGTGACAGGGCTCGCCCACCATTCTCAGGCCAAGAAGCCAGAGCTGGGATTTAAGTGGGACCCACTCCTGGATGGAGGGAGAAGGGCGGGGCTGAAGGCTGCTGCCCGGGCCAGCCCCACTCACCTGGCCCCGAAGCCGCCGCTGCCGGGGTAGTTGGGCCGGCCGTACATGCTCTGCTGGATGTAGGGCTGGGCGGGGCCGGCCTTGGCCGAGAACTGCTGCTGCTGCCCAGCGAACTGCGGGGAGTTGAGGCCGGGGTTGCTGGTGGTCATGCCCGACGCCATGGGGTTGCCGCCTGGATTCATGGGGTTGTTGGCATTGGCCATAGGGTTCCCGAGAACCTGCGGGCAGAGAGAGTAGCTGGCACCCAAGCTGGCACCCCAGGGAGTGTAGAGAAGAGAATGAGGGTGGCATTAGCCAGTCCAAAGTGCAGGTGATCAAGAGGGGCAGGCCAGGGAAGCAGGCAGGGACAGGTACGAGAAGCTTCCTTGTGACACAGAGAGGTGAGAGCACAGAACCCAGGTTCCCAAAGCCCGCTCAAGTGCCCCGGGGCCCGGGCAGCTGCGGCGAAGGGAGGTGAGGCTGCTCCTGCGTGCAGTGGCAGGTGGGAAAGCGCCAGGCCACTCAGCCTCCCGGCCCACAAAGGGGCCTGGGTGCCAGAGGGTCTGGCCGCCCCGAGGCCCTGGGCTGCTGCTCTGTGAGGGCCATGAGAAGCCCGGCTTGCCGCTCTGGAAGGCAGCAGTGTCCTGGCCAGGGGGCCCTGGGGCCTGAGATCTCAGGTAAGCCCAGCGGTTCCCTGCATGGCAGCAACCAGCCCTGAGCCCACATGTGGCCACCACTGAGGCTGGCAGAGGCTGGGCTGGTGGGAGACCCTCAGTTAGGGCAGAGGAAGACTGGCAGAAAGAGAAAGGAATGGGAGGGAGGCAGGCTTGACCAGGGGGGCTGGCTGGGGGTCTGTCACAGGATTAAGGCACAACATTTTGCTGAAATCTAGACCAGCCCATGCAGGGGCAGAGACCTCAGACTTTGGAGCCCTGAGGCCAAAAACACACAGGAAGTTTTCCTGTTTCTCCAACCAGAGTCCTCATGGGCTAGGGAAGAACCCCTTGCAGACTGTCCAATGAATGCCATTTCCCAAGAAAGGCCCTAGGATGGGGACCGTGGACAGAGGTTCAGTGCTGCCCTTCCGGGGTGGGTGTGGACCCTTTGCTGGGGTGGAGACATGTCTGTGGCCGACTGTGTCCTGGAAGGTGGCCTTCCCAGCTGGGTGACCCGAGGGCCTCAGGGGTCAAGGGACACTCCTGCCTGGAAGGAGCTGTGGCTGGGGCAGGACAGGCTCTTACCTGGCTCTGGGATGTGTTGGTCACTCCCCAAACCGTGGTGACCACGGAGAGGGAGCCGGGAGGCTGGTTGGTGTTCTGCTGCCAAGGGACAGAGTCATAGGGGAACGACCCATCACTGCGGAGGGAGACAGAGGGGAGAGGCTCAGGGCCGTGCCCATCACCCACCAAGCCACTGCAGCTCCTAGCCAGGCCCAGACCCCCCAGCCTGTTGCGGTGCCCGATGCAGAACATGTGAGCCTGGCATGGTGACAGGCTGTGCAGAAGTGACCACCTCTCCCCCATCACTGCAGGGAGCCACCTCCATGGCTGTCTGTCTCATCTCAGCCCAAAGTTCACAGGCCATGCAACGGAGGAGGCGGCGTGACCTGAGGCTCAGTCTAAGCCAGGCGTCCTCAAACTACGGCCCTTGGGCCACATGCCGCCCGCCAAGGACATTTATCTGGCCCGCTGGGTGTTTCTACCGCCGCTGCCTGTCCTGCTTAGCAGCTGACTCGTCCCGGGCCCACAGTGCGCATGTGTGGAATGTGCGCCGCACTCTCCAGCGGTCTGAGGGACAGTGAACTGGCCCCCTGTTTAAAAAGTTTGAGGACCCCTGGTAAGCTCTTCCTCATCTGGGCTCTGACTCCACGTGGCCCTCCAGGAAGAACCTGGGATCCCTACACCAGCTTCCCCTTGGAACTGCTCAGTGAGGGTCTTGGCTCTTTCCCCCCCTCTGTCCAGTGTCACCGTTCCTTCCCTGCCAACAGGGCCCGCCCCACCCGGCTCTCTCGGGCACATCCCCAAGAGCTAATCTCCCTCCAGCCCCTAAGACACTCGGCACAACCAAAGACCTTTGGTGGCTCCCAGGGCTCACAAGGCAAAGCCCAGACCCCCACTTAAGAACGGTTTAGCCGCTGTCTCCTTCCTTCCCTGCCTTCTACTTCGGCTCTGTCCTCTCTCGGAGCAGCTCCCTGAACACTGCCTCCCCTCTGCCAACCCCTCACTGGGGCTGGCAGTCCCCACCTTGCATGGGGACGTCTCCCTGAGGAGCCACACACACCTCAGAGGCAAGGACTTAACCTTTGGCCCGACACACTGCCCTTGGCCCACAGTGGTGTCCAGGGACGCCTTCCTGCTAACTGCCCTGGTGTGGGAGACCGGCGCCAGCGGTCCTGGCGAGAGGAGAGGGGCATGTGCTTGCGAGGGGCAGGCGGGCTCACGGCGTGAAGCCCTGCGGGATGCCAGCCCGGGGGAGTGCGGGGCCGAGGCTGCTGCTTCTCCCTCAGAGCCTGCCCTGGCTCTCCAACGCTGACCCTCGCCGAGGGTCACCAAATCCCGGACGCAGACCCCAGGGAGAGCAGAAAGGCAAAGCACCCGCATCTGTGGCACTGCCTCCTTCCACCCAGGGCACACCCCCCCCCCCAAGGGTGAGGCCTGCAATGCACACTGCCCCGTGCCGGGTGTGGGGGAGTAGTGTGTGCGCTGGGGGAAGGGATCTGGAGGAAGGCGCCTTGTGTCTCTGGCTGGCTGGTGCCTTAGTCACAGCAGACAAAGGCTCTCATCTCACTCACACCTGGACAACCTGTGCCCGGTCAATGGGCTGCTCCAGCACTAGAAGCACGAGTGGGCGCAAAGAGCCCAGCCCACAGGCGACGATGTCCGGGAGGGAGACGAGGTCCTGTGTGACCGGCAGGCAGAGGCCAGCCAGGGCGGCGGAGTCTTGGTCCTGCGCCTTGCACGGCTGAGTCCTTGGCAATGGTGGTCATGTCAGACGGGCTCCCGCAGAGGAGACCAGCTGGAGGGCAGGAGCCTGTCACTGTCCGCTCACACTTGCTCCTCCCCTGCCTGGATGTTGACTCCTGAGATGTCTTTGCCCGCCGGCCCCTGGCTTCCTTCCTGTCCCTGTGCAGGTTGTCGGAGGGGCCTGCCCCACCATCCTGGCAAGACCAGCCACCCCCACCCCACATTTCCTTTTCCCCACGCCCTGGCTTTGTATTTTTTTCACAGCTCTCCACCACTGTCATAATTATGTATGTATTTGATTATTGTCCGTCTGCACTAGCACAGAAGCCCCGTGACAGCAGGTGCTCAGGGTGCAAGTTTCTGCACTCCAGTCCCCTCATCTGTGAAATGGGCGTTAAGAATGATTCCCCCACTCTGTGCTCAGTGTTTTCCAACTGCAGGTCACAGAACCTGAGTGGGCGATGACATTGAACCAGCGGGAGGGAAAAAAGAGGCTTTCTCAACGTGACACAGACTTGAGATGACTCATGACTTCTGGGGGAAACAGCAGGACTAGAATTACAGGCGGAGCTAGTCAGGGCACTTAGCTGGCGGACAAGATGAGGGCCAGTGGCCTGAGGAAAGGGGTGAGACCCAGATGCAGGGGCCAAAGGTGATAGACAGTGGCAGGTTCCGTTCCTGAGGTGGCAGACTGGGGGCCGGGAGCCCAGAGAGAGCGGGCAGTGCCGAGAAGCACGGGAAAGTAGGCAGCGCGCGGCTCCTCGGGGAGGCTGGGCTGCAGCCACCTCTCTCGGGAGGTTGGTCGCTGGGGCCCCGAGCACCACCTGGCCCCACGGCTGGCACACCAGCGTCTTGCAGGGAGGCCTGGCAGGCTACGATTTAAAAAACAAAGAGGAGACCCCTGGACGCTTGCTGTCCTGCACGGCCCCTGTCCTAGGTGTGCTGGACAAACACAGGATCGTCCACAACCTAACAAAACACAAGCCCGAGTCTCTTCTCTCCCCAGGACTTCTGCCCCCGAAGTTCCCCCCCCAACTCTCCAGGCCGATGTCAAATTAGACAGGGGTCCCTGTCCTTTCAGAACAGGGCTGGCCAGGCTCAGGAAGTAGACCCCCGTCCCCCCGCCCCCTGGGAAACCCCTGGGAGCCGGCGGCTGCCGCCTCACCACCTCCGCCGGGAAGGCCCTGGCTCACCGGGGACACTGCTCAGGCCACAAACGAGCTCCCAACTGCCCTGCAGCCCCGTGGGTGGCCTTGTGGGCGGAAACCGGCTCCTTCCTGTTTTGCCCCCTCCACCCCAAACTCGGTGAGAAGCAAACTTAACCAGTGTTCCCAAACTGGGCAGCCCACCTTCAGACTGGAAGGCTCCCTGCCCGGGAGCGAAGGTGCACAGGGGCGTGGGGGTGGGGGTGGGGCGCGCGTATGTGCACACGCACACAGGGCCTGCTGGCATACTGCCGCACACCGGGGGAGAGAGACAGGTACCGCACGCAGGGCGGTCTCCGGACGTGCTCGCCTGCACACGCACCTGCTGCAGAAGCAGAAGTGGCAGCCGCACCGGCGCGGCTGTGACTCATCTCGTTCTGGGGGAGACAGCTCCCGCTGTCACAGCGAAGGCTCTCGCCCCCGCGGGCCCCCACGGCTGCTCCGCCGACCACGCCTCCGCCCCGACTCAGACACCACCGGATGTCGAGGACAAGCCAGCCTCCTGGGCTGCTAGCAGGGGCACAGGCCTGGCTGAGGCAGGAGAGCCTGGTGGGCGCCCTGAGACCCCTCCTTCTCCCCTGACACGCACAGTCTCACCTGCAGACACCCTGGGCCAGTCAGAGGTGCCTGGCACGTCTTAGTGGTTCTGCCCCACCCTGTACGCCTCTAACCCGGCGTGGCCACGTCCCGTCCAGCCCAAACTGCCCCAACAATCCTGTTCCACCCACAGAATCACTAAGGCCAGAAGCCACTTGGATCTCAGCAGCCGACATTCAGCCTGCCAAGTGCTTCCCAAGACGGGGGCTGCTGCACGCCCATCTCTGCACCTCTTCTCCGAGGAAAAGGCCATTCATCCCATCCAGCCTCAGCCCACGGCCATCTCTGGGAAGACCCTGCACGTGGGACTGCGCCCCACTGAGCTCCTCATATTCCTGGCCACAAGTGACAGCCTGCTGCCTTTCTTCTTCTGCACCGGGAGCCATCCCCTTGAATTCGTGGGCTCCCCGAGCCTGGCATGATGGCTTCACACACCTGCAGGGCTTAGGAAGCCTTTGCTAAACAAAAGCAAGTATGCGTGGGGGGGGAGGGGGGCACCACTTCTCTGCGCTCACCCTGAGAGGGATGCTGGGAATGAATGAGACCACAGACACAGGGCCCAGCGAGGGAGACGGGGACAAGAGGGAAGCGATGCAACCCACGGCCACTCTGCCTCATCTGTAAATTGGGGACGATGACAGCTCCCCCGGGGAACTCTGCCGTGAGGATTAAGTGCCTAACACGCGTAAGGCACCAAGGACAGCGGCCAGCACACCTGGGACACCCTGAAACTGCTGGCTGCTGCTGCTATCGGTATGATTTACCAAGTGGCTTGCAGACACAGGGAATTAGTGAACTAAGACCTCATCAATGCCCTGCTACGCGGCCTCGACAGAGGCCTCTCTCAGGAGCCGGCGCTCACGGCGGTAACAGCTCGTCCAGGGCGAGGCCGGCCAGGTCACCAGGCCATGTCAGGTGTGAGTCTCAGGAACTCAGGATCCAGCAGGGCACCGCTCCCTGTGGACATGGCGACCACGCCGGAGAGCGGGCGCTAGAAGTCCATCTAGACTTCCCAAGGGCCACCATGTAGAAGTCCCCGAGAGTTCTGAGAGGGGAGTCACCCGCACGAACAGGCAGAGGAGATGCAAAGCTGGGCCTCAAAGGCTGGCTGCAGGGAACATCCAGACAGCGTCCCAGGAAAAACACTTCGTACCCTGAACTGTCTGCTTCAGCCTGGACTCGGTATGTTGGCCAAGATCCAGGGACTTCGTTTTGAGGCTAATACTCAAAGGACAGAGGGGAGCCTCGAAGGAGAGAGGTTACCTACGGCGGTGGGCTCTGGGGTTAAGACTCTCTGGGGCCAAACCCTGGCTCTGCCAATGACGATTTCTGTGACCTTGGACATGTCACTTGAAATCAGCCTCAGCTTCCTCATCTGTAAAGTGGGACTAACACTCTTTTAGCATAAAACATGAGAACACAGGTACAGTTTAGCACAGTGCCTGGTACAGGAACCCTGCTCAACTGTGCTTGTACCTTTCTCTCCAATGCTGCAGCCCACCCATGGTTGTAGGGACCACGTACACTTGATGACTACGATGAAGGTGCCAAGGGGTTCTGCAACTAAGCTAGTGATGGGCTTTCCTCAGTT